CCATCATCGAGGGCTTCCACATCAGGACATCGATCTTCGCTTTCGGTCGGGAGTGTTCGTCGCGAGTGTTTCGGGAGTGTTCTGGAGCGTCCAGATTCGAATCTGGAAGCGTCCAGTACCCGGGATCTCGGAGTTTCCGGGATCCTGAGTTTTGGAAACTTCGGGATTCGAATCTCAACAGCTCCAAAACTACTGATTCCGAATCCTTCGGAATCATTAGTTCTTGGGGCTTTGAGATTTGAATTTCGAATTTTCTGAAACTTAGTATCCCGCAAATTCCGAAATTTCGTGTACTGGGGGCTTCTAGTTCGAATCCGGGCGTCCAGCATTCGGGGGCCGTCCCGGACGGTCTTCGAATAAGCAAAACCTCTCGCGCTAAACCTGGTAGGCGTAAAAAATTTAAATTGGTAAATAAAACATTAAGCTGTATGTTATCTTTTATTTTTGCGTATCTCCCCCCCTGGTTAAGGTTCCCCTCTCACACATTCACACCCTCACACCCTCACTCACGCACACATTCACTCTCTCATTCACACCCCACTCACGCACACATTCACACCCCCACTCACGCACACATTCACTCTCTCATTCANATGTTACCTTTCAATGCTACAGCTGGCTCATTGCTGGGCAGGCAAATTAGATCAATGTCATGTTAAAAATTTCGCAAATGTAGTAATGTACTCATCAAGTTTGACCGGCTTAAAATAAGTAAACGTCAGGGTAGCAAGAGATGATGTCGGTTGTTTCGAAATTGGTAAAAGTTAAAATTCTTCGCTGACAGAACGTAGCATCCTGGTTGAGCTGTAACAACCAAAACACAATCTCTATAATTTCCAACATTGATATCTAAAATTTAAAAGAACTTACCATTTCTTCTTAGTGCGTATCCAAATCGTTGATTTTTGTGTAGATTCTTTGCACAAGGTCTACTCGTTTTCATTCAATTCTGAAAAAAAGAAACTAACAATCATGCAAGAGTTTTTGATAAAATAATAAGGAAATCATTGATTCATGACTGATATAAAAATGTTATGGAAAATATAAGTTTGCTACATCTCAATTCAAATTCAAGTTGTACTTAAAATCTACTTTTAGATGCGAAAAAACTATTAATGAAGAATTTGGAAAAGTGACCGTTACTTTGCAATTGTACAGCTAATTTATTGCAAGCCAGGCAAATTAGATCAATATCATGTTAAAAGTTTCGCAAATATTGCAACGGACTCACCTAGTTTGACCGGCTTAAAATAAGTAAACATCAGGGTCGCAAAAGATGATGTCGGTTTTTTCGAAATCGGTAAAAGTTAAAATTCTTCGCTGAGCCTCAACTCTCATTCATACCCCCTTTCTTTCTCTCTTGTTACCCTTATACTCTCTCTTTCTCTCTCTCTCACATATTCCCTTGTATATTTTTTTCTCTTACACCTTTACATCCGCATTTGCACCTTGACTCTTTCCTAATTCGTTCTCACCCTTAATCACATTTATTCTTGTTCCTTACCCTTCACATATATTCACAAATTCCCTTTCAATAGACTCAAAAACTTGCTCCTACTCTTTTACTCACTTTTATACTCACATATTTTCCCTCGAACTTTCTTACCCATTCTTTCTTTCATTCAACTCACCCTTGTTGTTCATACCGATGCTTTCTTAATCTCCCATTTCCAAGTAATTAGAAGTTCTAAAAATGAAATATTCGATTTTGTTCTAGCTATTTTTGGTCTTCTTTCCCGGAATCGTGGAGGAAGCTCGTTGGACAACCCATGTTCGAAGTGAATGAGGGGTGATTATTTAGTATTTTCGATTATCAGGATATTACGTCTTGTAACATACATTAGACAATTGCGCATTTAATTTAAATCCCTGTTTTACACCACGATTGTACCTACATTTTTCATCCAAAGTAAGTTATTGAACAAACGGAGTTTTTCAATTATAAATTTTAAATTAATTTCTAATTAAATATTCGATTTTGTTCCAGGTATTTTTGGTCTTCTTTCCCGGAATCGTGGAGGAAGCTCGTTGGACAACCCATACTCGAAGTGAATGAGGGGTGAACCGAAGGCTGCCACGACGGTAAGTGTCTTTTAATTACTCTCATTAAATTTTTTACTTTCTTATTGATTTTATATCCTCCAGTAAGAAAGAATGCACCTTAAAAATACATGGCCTATAATTTGAGTTACTGAATTTAATTTAATTAAACTTTTTATTTCTGTCATTGATATTTAAGCTCAGAGTGGAAAATGTAATTTTTTCTAATAGGTAGTTTTGATTATGCAGCTTATAATTTGAATTATTTACGTATTGTTGGTCAATATTTTCAATTATTATTAATTTTTTAGTATGATTCTTTAGTAGACTTTCTCACC